GTGTACAACTTCAGAAAATGTGGTTTTGTCGTCTTAGATGCCTGTGAGATTGCTGGAGTGTGTTTCTCTGAAGAATCCGGAGACTTTGACTAATCAGTTCACACATTAATGAGCTCATTTGTGATTTTATCTTTACTGCGGTTTTATCACAGTAATGCTGCCAGTTTGATGTAGAAACCAGTTATTTCAGTCCTTGACTGAAACACACACACACACACACACACACACACACACACACACACACACACACACACACACACACACACACACACACACACACACACTTCATCTCTCTTTTCATATTTCTCTTTTTCATCACTCCTCCCCCAATCCGTCCGTCCAGATGGAGCTCCAGTGTGTGTGTGTGTGTGTGTGTGTGTGTGTGTGTTAGATGAGTCTATTGGCCATTGGCTGTGAGACCTCAGGTGCTAGGAGAGGTTTGAGAGGTGAAAGGTGTGTGTATATGTGTGCGTGCGTGCGTGTGTGTGTGTGAGTGTGTGTGTGTGGGAATGTGTGGGCAGTAGCTGATAAGCGGAAAGATTCAGAGTAATAAATTACAGTGAGAGTTACAGAGAGTCTGATAAATTATGGATGTGTGTGTGTGCGTGTGTGTGTGTGTGTTCGCACTCAGATAAACTCATTATGTCTCACCTGAGCAGGCTCTCGAAGCGAAGCCCTTCGAAGTGAAGGACTGGAGACAGGAAATGATGTCAAATGTGTTTCCTGTAGGGCTGTATGTGATGAGATGTTTGGTCAGGAATGTGTTCTGGTCATATTTATATTAAATTAATGAACATGTTTCGGCATGTATCTAACACAGTACTCAGATGCTCTCTTGTCTTGTCTGGTTTCTCATTTTAGTGCGGAATTGTTTTATAGTTACTTAAGAAAACTAAATTTATTCATTCATTCGCCAATTAATTCATAGTTTCATTCATCAGTTTATTGTTTCATGCATTCGTTTATTCATTCATTCATCTAAACATTCATTGATTTTAATTTAATTCATTCATTCTTCCATTTATACATGCATACATTCATTAACAATCCGTTTATTAGTTCAAATAATTCATTTACCCATTCATTAATTAGCTCAAATCATTCAATTATTCATTCATGTTTTCATTCATACTTTTATTCATTCATTCACAAATTAATTCATTGATCAGTTCATTCATTCATTCATTCATTCATTCATTCATTCTCAATTTGTTTGTTAGTTCATTTATTCATTTACCCATTTATTTATTAGCTCAAATCATTTATTCATTCATTCATTCATTCATTCATTCATTCATTCATTCATTCATTCACAATTTGTTTGTTAGTTCATTTATTCATTTACCCATTTATTAATTAGCTCAAATCATTCATTCATTCATTCATTCATTCATTCATTCATTCATTCATTCATTCATTCATTCATTCATTTACCAATTAATTCAGTTTCATTTATTAGTTAATTTACCCATTCATTCATTTAACCATTCATTAATTTGCTCAATTCTTTCCTTCATTCATACGTTCATGTGTTTATTTGTTCATTTAATTACTTATTCATTTATTAACTTCATTCATTCATTCATTCATTCATTCATTCATTCATTCATATGTCTATATCCTCCATTTGTTCAACTGTTCATTCATTTATTTGTTCATTCTTTTATTTATGAGTTTCATTCATTTACTTGTCTGTTTGTATATCCGTTCAGTTATTTGTTCATTTATTCATTTAATTGTTCATTAATTTGTGTTTATTTATTCTTTCATTCATTCATCTATGTGTGTTTTGATTGATTGATTGATTGATTTGTTTATTTGGTTATTTAATAATTCATTCATTTATTTATTCATAAATGCATTCATTTATCCATTTGTTCATTCTTTTATTCATTCACTGGTTCAATCATTAGTTTACTAGTTCATTAATTAATCAATTTATTTATTTAATAGTTTATTCGTTCATCCATGCATTCATTCATTCGTTAATTTAATGCTTCATTTAAGAGTTCAATTATTTATTCATTCATGCATTCATTCGTCAATTTGTTCATTCTTTCTATTAATTCATATAATAGTTAATTCGTTTATTAATTCATTCATATATGAATGTAATGTTTCATGCATTCATTAATTCATTCATTAATTAATCCATTCATTCATTCAGTCTTTAGTTGTTTAGCTGAGATGTGTGGTCTTCATGATGTTCAGCTGTCAGTGTTCACTTTGAGCATCTCCAGAAAGAGAGGCAGTTTCTGCATCAGCGTTTGATGAAGCTCTTGCTGTGTGTGTGTGTGTGTGTGTGTGTTGTGTGTTCGGCAGTGGGCGATTCAATAAAGGAGAAACAATGTAAAGACACAAGTTAATTACTGTCGTTATTAACTGTAGACTGGTGTATTGTCATTAGGTTTAGAACTGTAAAACGCCTCTGCTGTATGCAAACATCACATTTATGTTACCTTTGTGAATGAGGCATTGTGGGAAACGTGTGACAGGAACAGAATGACCGCCTGATGCTGTTTTTATTGAAGACACTCATGTAGGGCTGTGCAACATGATGATATGAATATAAAGTCTGTCGTTTTATATTATGCTCTGTCATATATTTTTTGGTGTCACAAATGCATTATTTACAATAATACTTAATTTAATACATCATTTATATGAGAGCAAACTTATTACAGGGATGCCGACAGAAACGGGAAGAACAGCTTTGTGTCACGATCACCATTGATCTAGCACAGTGATTCTCAAACTTTTTCACCAAGTACCACCTCAGAAATAAATTCTCCAAGTACCACCACACTGAAAAAAGTGTTGCATGCAGAACTGTTGCAAACAATTTATTTGTGTTGAATTTAAACAAACAAATTAAGTTTAATAATGTTCAACTTAATTTGTTTGTTTAAATTCAACACAAATAAATTGTTAAGAAACACTTAACGTAAAAAATTGAGTAAATCTAAGGAATCATCTTTGAATATTTTTTTTCAGTGCATAATGAGCAGTATTGAAATAAAGTATGGTAGTGTAGTTGGCTAAATTAAATTAATTAATTAATTAATTAAATTAAATTAATCGGCTACAGCCTTGCACACTTCGTAAAGAGGCAGTCATGTTCATTCTACAAAATTATATTCCCTACAAAATATGAATCTGATCAGTGGGTTCTTGTCACGTGACTCGCGGTGCGGCATTCTGAAAAGTTAGGATGTTTTTAACTGGGGACGCCTGGAATACACAAGCGCGTCATGCTGCAGTTCGCACTCATTTTGCTAGCCTATGGGTTACATTTTGGCACTCAAGTAACCAAAATGTTCATGTGAATATGGTCATTTTTCAAAATAAAAGATTTTTCAAAATAAATAATCGTTCAGGCTCAGACTATAAATAAAACGGAAACAAATAAGGATTTTTTTGTGTGGTCCAGTTCCAATTGGTCTATAGACCAGTGCCGGTCTGCGGCCTGAGGATTGGGGACCACTGCTCTAGCACGTATCTGCTCTGCAAGCACCACACACCTCTTTCTCTAGTTCTGCATGAATTGATTTTTAGCAGCTGATGACGCAATGCACTAAAGTAAACAATCTATGCACAGCGCATCACAATGGTGTTACCGCACGCATCAAATTATTAAAATTGTATTAATTTTTTCATTACTCATTGATTCCTCCGCGTACCACTAGAAGCCCACGTTCCACTAGCGGTACACATACCATAGTTTGAGAACCACTGTTTTAGCATTTGCAGATCGCTGAAGAACTACAAATATGGCGCTTTAATGAACTACAGATCCCGTCATGTACTTCACTCACACACCTGGCCCTGATTTCTCCTGATTACAAATACACACATCCGAAGCTGTTCAAGACTAATCAAATGGACTATAAAGACAGCACACACACATTGTTGCTGAGTCTTGTTTACTATAAGTGAGCATTTCCCTGCATTTTTCTTTGTCTTGCCTTTCGTGTTTTTTGGACCCTTCTTTGTTTTACTGTTGTGTTGTTTTGCCGCCTGTCCTGACCGATCGCCTGTATTATTATTTTTTTTGGATTACTCTTTTTGGTTACCCATGTTGTATCGTTTGCAACTGACCAACTCGTTTTTTGTGATCTATTTGGTCCTACACCCACACATTCGTTCCGAGCAGGGTTAAATCCCTCTACTAATAATGACCACCGTATTAACCTTTGGTTTAAGTTGGCCATGCGCTGTAGAAAAACCAAAGGGTCTGTGAAAAAAAATAAAAAATAATACTGTGAAAAACTCCTGAATCTATTAAACATCATTTGGGAAATATTTTGAAAAGTAAAATAATAATAATAATAATAATAATAATTCCTTACATTTATATAGCGCTTTTCTGGGCGCTCAAAGCGCTTTACACACAATGCGAGAGGGAATCTCCTCATCCACCACCAGTGTGCAGCATCCACCTGGATGAAGCTACGGCAGCCATTTTGCACCAGACCGCACACCACACACCAGCTGATTGGAATATGGGGATGGTTAGGAGGCCATGATGGACATAGGTCAGTGGGCAGATTTGGCCAGGATGCCGGGGTTAAACCCCTACTCTTTTTCGAAGGACATCCTGGGATTCTTAACGACCACAGAGAGTCGGGATCTCGGTTTAACGTCTCATCCGAAAGACGGCGCTCACTGAGCAGTATAGAGTCCCTGTCACTATACTAGGGGATTTAGAACCCACACAGACTGCAGGTTGATCGCCCCCTGCTGGCCTCACTAACACCACTTCCGGCAGCAACCTAGCTGGTCTCCCATCCAGGTACTGACCAGGCGCAGCCCTGCTTAGCTTCAGTGGGCGACCATGTGAGAGTTGCAGAGAGCTAGCTGCCGGCTAGCTTAGGATGATTAATTGAATTTACAGCATTGATGTAAAACTTGGATGATATGAGATTTTTGATGCTGCTCTTGTGATTGTAAATCACATTAAATGAAATTAAATGTGGGCTTTTGTGTGTTGTTCTCTGCAGATCTGGAGGAAAGAGCCGGTACGTCTTGGGGGAATGGAGTCCGGGCCACAAAGGTGAGGATTTACTTGTGTAGAAATGCTTTGATTTTGTTTTTTAAACTTGTGAAACATGGATGCCACACCGACAAAATAGTTCTGTCTTGAGTCTGGTGTGTCTGTGTTCATGTATTTGTTGTGTCATGTGATGTTCCATCTGCTTCTGTGTTTGTCATGTGATTCTTTTGTTCAGTTTTCCCGCCATGCAATACTCTCAGTAGTTCCACCTGTGTCAAGCTCCTGTTTGTAATCTGTTCAATCATGTCTTGTGCATATACACCCCTGAGTTTTAGTTCTTTGTCTGGTATTGTCACAACTCCCCGTCTTGCTTGCGGTTTGATCTTCCACTGCCTGTTGTGAGTTTTTTTTTGTAAAATAAATATGTGTTTTTATTTAATATAACCTGAGATCTGTGCACTTGTGAGTGAGCCCACTGTGACAAATTCATTGAATTTACTCAATTTTTTTTAAGGTAAGTGGTTGTAAACAATTGATATGGGCTGAATTTACATTTACATTCAAATTCAGCCCAAATAAATTGTATGCAACCACTTAACCCAATGTATCTTTATTTCAGTGTGTGGCTCTCGACACTAGTGAGCTGTCTTTGCTGTAGGGTGCCTAGATAGGCAGCTGACTTGTAAAACACAAAAAGATTGAAGGAAAACGTTGCTGTAAAATCTGTGAATTTCAATAAATATTAGATTCTTCATTCATTCATTCATTGTCGGCTTAGTCCCTTTATTAATCCAGGGTCGCCACAGTGGAATGAACCGCCAACTTATCCAGCACATTTTTACGCAGTGGATGCCCTTCCAGCCGCAACCAATCTCTGGGAAACATCCACACACTTATTCATGCACACACTCATACACTACGGACAATTTAGCCTACCCAATTCCCCTGTACCGCATGTCTTTGGACGGTGGGGGAAACCGGAGCACCCGGAGGAAACCCACAGGAACGCAGGGAGAACATGCAAACTCCACACAGAAACGCCAACTGAGCCAAACCGAGGTTCGAACCAGCAACTTTCTTGCTGTGAGGCGACAGCACTACCTACTGTGCCACTGCGTCGCTAATATTAAATTAGTAATGAGTAATTGATTAATTTGCAATTTTAATATTTACAATAATGTTTTAATTTAATTATTAATAATTATTGTTTATAATATGTACTATCAATTTGTAATTAAAAAAAATAAATGTTAATTTATTTAAAAAACTTGAACTACTGAAAGATATTGAGCTAAACTGAACTGAACTTAAACACTAAAAACTGAACTACCCTGATCCAGTTACTATGACCATTTATGTGAAGCTGCTTTGACACAATCGACATTGTAAAAGCGCAACACAAATAAAGCTGAATTCAATAATAATCAGATTTTCTAAAGTTTAATTTATATATTGTTTTTATTCTAAATTTATATTTTATTATTAATTATTATTTACTGTCAATTTGTAAAAAAAAAATACAAACATTTTGTTTCTTTGTCTACATGAAAACTAAAGTGTTTAGGAAAAATATAATATGATGATAATAAAATAAATATTAGTCCTTGCATTATTAAACATTAGCAGAAGATATTTATTTTTTTATTTTAATTTATAATAATGTGAATATACAGTCTTCACTTAGATTTTTATATCTATAATATAATATAATATGACATTTGTTTTATTTTACAGTTACTGATTAGGTATTTAATTTATGTAGATTTGTATTTGATATTAATTAAATTTTATTGTTTAACTGATGATTTCTTATATTATTTAATTGTAATGAATTGTATAAGCACATGTGTTTGCCATTTTAATTGATAATATTTAATTTCAAGTAAATTTCATTTGATTAATTATGACCAAAAATATAACCACATGTTTTAAAGTATCACAATTTTTTTTTTCAATTTATAAGTAAAATAAGATTTTAACCATAGGACATGTGCTGCTGATGATGTGACAATAAAAGTGATTTGATATGGAAAAATAAAAAAATTATATTAATATAAAAAATAATAGTTTGCTTATTAAACAGCAGGAAATATTTCTGTGTGTGTGCGCACTGCTGTCTTCTGGTCAGCTGGTGTCGTCTAGAGGTCAAAGGTCACAGTGATCGGTTCTCATCTGCCATCAGCACATTTAACCATCAGAGGTCAATGAAGGATGTGCTTACAGGGCACTTTCACGCGCACACACACACGCACACACACACACACACACACACACCATGCAAATGAGTCAAATTCATATTTTGTTTGTCACATACACAGTCATATATACACAGAGATAAAGAGAATAATAAATAAAATAATAAGTAATATAAATATTATAAATATGTATATATATATGTAATAAAAATAAAGCATCTATAATTAATTCTTAATCTACAGGGTTTGCTTTGTTTTTGTTTTTGTAGTATTATTGTTATATTTATGAAGTAATTATGAAGCATGCTGGACTGTCTTATAATTACTTGTAAGTAATTTGTGTCTGTTTATGTTTGTTGTGTCATGATTCTACTGTCCTAATTTAATAGCCTCTGACGGGATTAATAAATTTGTTAAACTAAATTAAAACTAAGTTAAAACTAAAACTAAACTAAAATAAACTAAAATTTAAACTTGAACTAAACCTAAATTAAAATGTAACCTTAAACTAAACTAAATTATAACTTAAACTAACTTAAACTAAACTGAAATAAAACTTAAACTAAATAAAACTAAACTAAACTAACTTAAACGAAACTAAACACACTAAACTAAACTAATAACTTTAATTAACTAACGGCAGAGTCACTCGTTGTCTTAAAGAAACGACTAAAACTCAACTATTTAGTCTCCACTTTCCTTACTAATCTGCAATTCCCTCTCGGGCTCCTCCACTAACTACTGCTACTACAAAAAAATAAATAAATAAAAAAAAATACTAATGTTTTGCTTCTTACACTTTCTGTACACACCTGAAACTTGCCTACAGCACTTATTCATTGTTGCTCTTAAAGTTGTGTAAATTGTTTTCTTCCTTGTCCTCATTTGTAAGTCGCTTTGGATAAAAGCATCTGCTGAATGACTAAATGTAAATGTAAATTAAAACTTAAACTAAAACTAAACCTAAACTCAAATTTAAACGAAACTTAAGCTTCAATTAAAACTAAAACTTAAACTAATGTAAACTAAACTAAAACTTAAACTAAAAATAAACTTAAAGTTAAACTAAAACTTTACTTAATCTTCACTTAACTTAAACTTTAACTAAAGCAATAATTTAAACTTAAACTTAAACTTAAACTAAACTCAAACCAAGATTTAACTAAAACTTAAACTAAAACTTAAATTAAAACTTAAACTAAACTCAAAGTAAGATTTAACTAAAACCTAAACTAAATTAAAACTAAAACTAAAACTTAAGCTTAAACTAAACTAAACTAAACTAAAAATTTTAATTAATTCATTTTCTTGTCGGCTTAGTCCCTTTATTAATCTGGGGTTGTCACAGCGGAATGAACCGCCAACTTGTCTAGTAAGTTTTTACGCAGCGGATGCCCTTCCAACCGCAACCAATCTCTGGGAAACATCCACACACACACATTCACACACACACTCATACAATACGGACAATTTAGCCTACTCAATTCCCCTGCACTTGTACCGCATGTCTTTGGACTGTGGGGGAAACCGGAGCACCCGGAGGAAACCCATGCAAAGGCAGGGAGAACATGCAAACTCCACACAGAAACACCAACTGAGCCGAGGTTCAAACGAACCAGCAACCTTCTTGCTGTGAGGCGACAGCACTACCTACTGCGCCACTGCCTCGCCTTAAAACTTTAAGTTAAAATAAACTAATCTACAGTAAGCTAAACTTAAACTTAAACTAAAAATTTAAAACGTAAGCTTAAACTTAAACTAAACTTAAACTAAAACTTTAAACTAAACTAAACTTAAACTAAACTAAGTTAAACTAAACTTAAATTTATATTAAATTAAACTAAAGTAAACTACACTAAAACCCGAACTAAAACTTAAAATAAACTAAAGTAAACTTAAACTTTAAAACTTAAACTGAACCTAAACCATGCTAAACTAAAACTAAACCATTTTAATGGCTTGTTTGTTACTTGCCTTTTTTCATTCTGTTTTTATTTTTATTTTTATTTGATGTTGATTTAAAAAGTTTAATTTAATTTAATTTAATTCGATTTCAAGTAAAAAAAATAATTTTGTTAAATTAGACTTCATTTGTAATTTAATTTTATTTAATTAGATTTCATTTAAAACATAATTGAATTTATTTTTTATTTAATTTAATTGTCGGACAGACACGTATGTATATCATCCACTGTCATTATTATTTGTGCCATTAATCATTGTAGATTTTTATATCTACTTTAGAATAATATAATATAATATAATATAATATAATATAATATAATATAATATAATATAATATAATATAATATAATATAATATAATTCATAACAATGTTTTTATTTTACAGTTTTTATTATGGTCTTTAATTTCATTAGATTTTTATTTGATATTAACTTTATTTAATTAATTTTTGAATTCATGTTCAGGCATAATATAACATACATTTAAGCATATTCCTTATTTACTAATTTATTTACAAAATTAAATGGTTAGTTTAATTTATTTTAATAAATGAGCATTTGTATTAACATAAAATTCCATTTATGTATATATTTTTATCAATATATTGTGTCTTTTTAAATGTATGATGTATATTTTTAATTACAATTTTGAATAACAATCATGTATATTAAATTAATTCTGTTGACCTTTGCAGAACTATGCTGACGGCTCTCAGTACAGTCACATGACCGGTCGGGACCTGGGGTCACATGACAGCATCTCTCCACCCTATTCTAATGCCAGGCTAGCAGGTAAGAGTTCTGCCGCTGAGCATCATGGGATATGTAGTTCTTCTGTGCACTGTTGCATTGGCTGTCAATTGGAATGACCAGAGCGATTCATTTGGATGAATCATTTTATCTAAACGACTCATTTAAACTTGGAATCGATAATCAGTGAGCAGAAAATGAATATGTGATGAGTTTAGTTTGTCAGTGAAGTGTTTAATTATGAATATGTCTCTGATGTTGGTTTTATTGTCCAGTGAATCGCAGCGGATTTGTTCGTTTTGCTGTAATGTGATTCCGTTAATCGCCTTCAGACTCATTAAGCTTGATTTTGACCGTCAAAACTGTCTTTTTGATGAACACAGAGTTCAGATTAGCTGGGTATAACATTAGAAAGCTGGATGCTAATGAGTGGGAGGGGCCTCTTGTTCTAGAGTGCGATTGATTAGATGGGATTTGCATACGCCCCTGAGTGCATGCTGATGTCATCGGTTGTGTATGCAGAGACAGAGTGGGCTTTTTAAAGGGGTTTCTTTCCCGTTTTTTGTCCTCTGAGTTCCTTTTTAGTTTCCTTGTGGAGCTCTGAGCGGATGATGAGATCACTTCCTGTGTCTGGATTCATTCTTCAGGAGAAACTGATATTCGGGATGTGGTCATAAAATTATCTTTACATTTTTTTTAAAAATGTGTTCATAGTTGCAACTTTTATTTATGGTATATGGTGAATAGAAGATGCATTGTGCTATTAGGTTACACCAACACACCGTAAACGTAAATTTAAAAGTTTACTTTTCCTTGAAAATAATATTTAATATTAAGTAATGCAAAAAAATATTAAATATTAATTTATTTATTTATCAAATATTTATGTATATTGTATATTTTAATTAATTAATTAATCAATCAATTAACTGATTGAAATAAATAGTGAAATTATTTAAATTAAAGTTCATTAATTATTAATTTAATTATTTTATTTAGTTTAGTGTTTTATTTTTTGTTTTTGTTTTATTTTTATTTATTTTATTTGATCTATTTTTTTATTGAATTTTTTTTTGTTTTATTTTTTTATTAAACAAGACTAAACTGATGAAGGTTACTTAATGCAAAACACACGGAAAACATTATATTAGACACAGATATTACTATCATTCGTATCAGGGGTGTAACGGATCTGAAATCTCACAGTTCAGATCACATCATTGTTTATGAGGCACAGATCGATCAATTTTTGTATCAGCAAAAAGGGGAAGAGATGAATGTAACAGGCTTTCCATTAATCACAGCAGTAGCATACTGCAAGACACTTTGTTTTAGCAAACATATTTTATTTTAGTTTAACAATATATTTTATTTATTCATTATTTTATTTTATTTTATTCCTCACATAGACATTTTATTTACTTAACCAACAGGACAAAAAAAAGTTTCATCCTTTTTTTCAGCCTTCTCATTTCTTTTTATTTGAAATATTATATAATAGTATTGCCTATTAATTAGCATTAAATAATTATTTATTATTAAGTAATTAAGTAATAAGTAATTTTAAACAGAATTAGGTAATTTTTTATCACATGACTTTCAGCTTTCATCTTTCGTATTTACAGCAAATTATTAATTACAAAATGCCTCACATTTAAACAATAGTGACAATAGAGTATAGTAAAAAATATTTTTAATGTTATAGAAATATTTGTATATTTATATTGGTTATTTAAATATTTACATATATATATATATATATATATATATATATATATATATATATATATATATATATATATATATATATATATATATATATATATATATATATATATATATATATATATATATATATATATATATATATATATATATAACTTGTGTATTTACTTTTTTGTTCATAACATATTTTGGTAATTTTTTTGTCCATTTTTTTTAGGCAGTATCAAAGCCACCCTTCATCCTAAAGGTCCACTCTTCCTTTCTCCTGCTATCAGATTAACAGCATCAGA